CCAACAAATCCAACCAGGAGCCTCGTGCTGCTGGTACTCACCCTCCATCCTTACTCCTCCTCGCTCCTGTTCACCTCTGCCTTCACTTCCATGGTCCCTCACACATGTTTGGTGAGGAGGTATGAAAGGTAAGCACCAAAAAGATTTGCAGGGTGGAAAAAAAAGTCATGTTGTTACAGCAACCCAGAATTGATTGTGTGGATGGACATCATGTGGATGGGGACCCCGAGAACTTGCCATCAAAATTCCACAGCTCCAGCACAAGAGCAGCCTTGTTGTTGCCAGAGCAGTACCAAGGATGACAAAAATGTTGTGTCACTCGCTCAGTACCCAGAATTACCCACTGTTTGTTAAAAAGCTGGATCGATTTTTGAAGGTTGAATCAAAAAGACAATGGACAGCAGGTATTTATCATGGAAGAGCACTGATTTCCCACCACCTGAAATACTGTGCAGGCTTGGTGCAGGCATTTTGAAGTGAAGTTTTATCCTCCACACCTCTGACAACAGTAAAAAGTTCTTGAAAATTTTTACCTTTTCGTCTCACTTCCTAAAGAAACTAATTCTGTAACAGAGGAGGCCTCTCAATGTTCTCTCCAGTGTGGCTGTGCAGGTGCTGTGCCCGTGTGTTGCCATTTCTGGTTGCTCACTGAAGTACAACCGTTCAACGCCGTAGTAACCTGGCCAGCTCAGCAACAGCACTGCCAAATATTCTCTCCTGTTGGCCAGCTGACAAGGTTAATGTGTCTCTTCCAAGAAAATGAAGTAAATCTAACCCCCTGTACCTCCCAAACTCCTGGAAGAGCCCCAGACTGTGTCATTACCTTCGTGGTCCAGCTTGCAAGAAGCCATCACCTAATGGCCAGTGCTGGGCAGCTGGTTGTGCTGGGGCTTCCCGTTTAAACAGCCCCCTTTGTGATGATCCTGATAGGGATGCAACGGTGGGATGGGTAAAAGAAAAACATCGGGGAGGGAGGGACAGGATTGAAATGTTGGGAAGGGTTCCTGATGTTTTTAATTGCAACAGCGAAGGGGGGAGAAGAAGCGAGGGTGAGAAGAAAGGGCTAGCAGCAAGGAATTTCCAAAGTGTCTTCCTGCCCCGAGCAAAGCAGGAACTGGGAGGAGAGGCATGGAAGAGGAGCTGGGAACAATATGCTGAGAAAACACAGGGGCTTCCTCTCTCTGCAGGAGAAGACCCCGGTGTATTGCACAGCCAGTGCTTAGCAGCTGAGTGGTTCGAGCCCGCATGCCTTCTCTGCCCGGCCGCGTTGCTAAGGGGGAGAGTGCACAAGCCCACCAGGATATGCAGGTCCCTGGCAAACAAGAGGGCTCCAGACAGCAAACAAAGACCGAAGGGTATTTATTCCTTAATTACGGAAAAGCTCTTCAGAAACAGACCACTGTAAATCCCGCCCGCCCGGGAAAAGGCCCACGATTTATGCACGCTGGGGCAAAGAGGGAATAAATATCTCTCTGGCTCCTGATCAATATTATGAGTGTTTTGCCAACCTACAGGGTGTTTTATGAGCTGTAAGGACAGAAAGGGATCATTAATAATTAAATAAAGTCAACCTATTAAGCTTATTACTTCTTACAAGTTAAACATCCCTGACGGACAAAGACCAGCCCCACAGGAAAGCCACAGATCAGCCAACCCGTGTCTTGCCTTGGACTCTGCTCCAGGGCTGCCTCCAGTGAACAGTGCAGTAACCCAGCTTGGAAATGATTTCATTACTGTCTGATGGGGAATTTGTCTGGCTGTGGACTGTGTTCGACCCACTCTTCAACCTGCAGACTTTCGTCCAAGAGAGAGAGAAAGACAATTCGATGCTGCATAAACATGCCAGATTCAGGTTACTTCTCCTACTATCAGTCCTATTCAACCAAACCAAACCAAAACACCAGCACCAAAAGGCACAAATCCCTACAAGTGTCCAAGGCCAGGTTGGACGGGGCTTGGAGCAACCTGGTCTAGTGGGAGGTGTCCCCGCCCATGGCAGGGGGTGGGACTGGATGGGCTTTAAGGTCCCTTCCAGCCCAAACCATTCTGGGATTCTGTGAAATAAAGGTGGTTTCCCACCAGCAGCACCTTGCACTGTCAGGGCCCTGTTTTCTGGAGCCCACAGCCCAGGACCTTCTCCACCATTAGCTCTACTATTCCATTTTCCAGTTTTCCTTTCGTAGCTGTGTGTTTAAGGGAAATAAAACCCTACTGTGCATGAGGGACAGAGATCACTCACACGTGCAGAGCTGAATGTGCTTCTCAAATTAATCACACCTTGCCTGACACTCACCAGTATCGTCGTAATTCAGATTCAGTGGAGCTTCTCCACCTTTTTCCCTCTCTCCTGACAGCATCCCCTCCAAAACAGCTCCAAAGCAGCTGCTTTTTCTGCACCTCTATGTTACCCCCCCAGTGATGCCACAGAGTAACCAGCACCTCTCCTTCAAGTGTTAATACACCCGCAGGATTTATTACTGCCCAACATTAATGGCCAGCCTGGCCAAGACATCAAGGTTTACTGACTCCAGGCTTTCTAGATAAATATCCTGCAACTGTGGGCTCTGATATATCACAGAAAATTGCAGTCAACTTATGTTTTCATTGCGTGACACTCCATCTAATAATTTTTAAGGTACCCTCAATAAAATATATCACACCCGAGGTTTATTCCGTATGAACTTAAGCAAAAACTATGTGACACATAATGGTGGAGGATACTGTGGGTACTAAGAAAAGGCTTATTAAGCTGAGAATAAAGATCCTAAAGGTGACAACTGCAAGCCCTGTAAGCTGGTTAAGTCTTTTCTCAATACAAATCCAAGCTTTTTGTTCTGTGCAAATATGTGAAATGAAAACAGTCCCCAGAGATGATATAAAAAGCTTGAAGAATGCCACAAATTGTACTTTCCCACTAACCCTACATGCCCCAAATTTTTTAAACAGCATTGCCAGCAGTATTTCAGGGGGAAAACCCCAATCAATGGTGAACCCTAAGGCTTTAGAGCTCCCCATTGTCCAGAGGAGGCCACGAAGATGATCAGAGGGCTGGAGCACCTCTCCTGTGAGGAAAGGCTGGGAGAACTGGGATTGTTCAGCCTGGGAAAGAGAAGGCCCAGCAGTGACCTAACTATGGCCTTCCAGTGCCTGAAGGGAGCTGACAGCAAAGATGTCAGACTTTTTGCAAGGGCCTGGAGGGACAGGAAAAGGGGGAACGGCTTCCCACTGCCAGAGGGCAGGGTTAGATGGGATACTGGGAAGGAATTCTTGGCTGTCAGGGTGGGAAGGCCCTGGCACAGGTTGCCCAGAGAAGCTGTGGCTGCCCCTGGATCCCTGGAAGTGCCCAAAGCCAGGTTGGACAGGGCTTGGAGCAACCTGGGCTAGTGGAAGGTGTCCCTGCCCATGGCAGGGGGTGGGACTGGATGAGCTTTCAGGTCCCTTCCCACCCAAACCATTCTGGGATTCTACAATTTTAAACATGCAGCTTGGAGAAAGTAATTAAAAAAGCAACGTGAAGAGTGGGGGAAGCTGGATTTCTGCTGAGGTGTGCAAGGGAGACCTCATGAGAACCTGCCATGAACAACAGCTCCCTCACACCCACCCTCTGCTGACCAACAGGAAAACTGCTGAGTTCATGATCTGATCCCTCTGGCATGCAGGTACAGCACGCCAGCCATGTAAAATGTAACCCACCAAAAAAACCCCAACAAAAAGGCTAATAAGTGAGTTATCACTGTGTGGGTCTAGACATGAGTGGGCTGCTTCCATTTCTTGGGTGGTCACACTCAGGCACACCACCAGTGTTACCTAAAAAAAGCCAAAAGCTGCTCTACAACAGTTGCATAGAAATGCTAAAACCAAGGAGTATATTTGCTTCTTGCTTGTTTTAGTAATAAATATATATATGCAGGGAATAGTAATTGGAAATATGCACCTAATGTATTTCATTATTCATGTGTAACCAGACTTAACCTGATGTCTTAAGTGTATAAATCAAATTGCATTGTGCCAGTACCTAAACACAGACTGGAAATTTCAATTTGCAATTTGATATACAGTCACTCAGGTTAGAAGATTCCATTAATTTGCAATTTGTTAACACTAATTTTCTCCTATAGGAAGGCTATACTTAATGCACTAGCACTTTAAACAGAGCTCAAGAAATCATTACATACTTTTTTCTTTTCTTTTTTTTTTTAAAGGAAAAAATATGAAAATCCTCTTGTACAGTACCCAGTGCATAAACCTCAACAATCTGTGCCAGGTGAGGGGTGGAGGGAGGTGGCAGGAAACAGGGATGTCCCTCAGCCCCATAGCTCCTCCCGTGCCCTGACCATCAGGGCACATTAAGGACACTGTGACACAGCTGATGTGATCTGCCTTGGAACAGATCCCAGCACAAACAGAGCAGAGAGGAGAAATGGAGCTTCTCCTCTGCAAATCCTGCTGGAAAGTGGAGAAGAGGCAGAACTAGGAGTGCACCAGCGCCTTCTAAACAACACTGAGGGGGGGAAACCCCTCCAAGGGCTGCCCAAAGGGTGACAAACCTGCAGAGCAGGCTAAAGAGAGCTCAGATGAGGGCTTGCTTAGCACACAAAGGTGGCTTCAGTCATAGAATCATTAAGGTTGGAAACGACCTCTAAGATCATCCAGTTCAACTGCAAATGGAAAAAAACGTGTTGTGGGCTCCAGGAGAAGCCAATCTTCACCCGAGGATCAGAAACTGGAAGAGGAGGGGCTGATCACAACGCTGCACGAAGACCTCCCAAAATTTACTTGACAATTTTGATCCTTTGCTACCAATAACTCCTACAGTTTGGTTTACAAGGAAAAACAAAAGCCCTTTCAGGGGGCTTTAATATTACCTTAATTCCAGCAGAAGCAATAAGATGACACTCTTTGGAGTATTTGGGAAAAAAACACTCTCCAACATTACCCTGAATTTATGTAAGACATAAAAGAGAAAATACAAGTAATAAACATTGTATTAGAGCATAGACTGTGAAGAAAAACGCATTTGGAGCAGCAAGCAAATAAAAACAACTGCCTGCTCTGCACAAGTCAGCAGTGGGAGGCAGCAGTGTTTGCAGTGGGAGGTCTGAGGGCTGGGGACCATGGGCAGCATTTCTGGGACACACGTTGATGCTACAGGGACCTCTCTACTGTCCAACTCTTCCCAGATAACTTGGAACCCTCCCTTCTGCTCTGCTCACCTTCCAGTGTCTCCTCACCTGCAATTTAAGAATCACAGAATTGCTAAGGTGGGAAAAGACCTCCAAGATCATCAAATCTATGAGTCACACTTATTAATGGCTATTTTTATTTAGTAAAAGTGATGCCTTTCACGGCAAGTTGGATCTGAGGTATTCCCTCTGTTCAGCAAGCGATGGGACTCCCCTCCACCTCAGTTCTACTAGGCTGCAGGTGTTTGATGCCCTTCTCCAACCACAAATGATAATTAGTTTAAAAAACGTTGTTGGTAGAGCCACTCATGTTTCTGAAAAAGCAAAGTGGATGAAAAATTGACTTGAGTAACTAAGAAAGGCTTTAGAAATCCTCAGCAGTGAACACCCACAGAAATCCATGAGGTTCCCCTGTACCTAAAAAATGAGACACCAAGACTTTTTTTTGTTTGTTTGTGCAATGCTGGGGTTGCCCAAATGTGCCCCGAAAAGTGGGATTACAGATGGACTTGGCTTTCAGCAGATATTGGAGAGCTCAGGTCCTGCTGAGGCATTTCTAATTGCACACCTCTGCCTATTAATCACTTGCAAACCTTTAGGCCTTTATGATTTACAAGCCATAAGGTTGGTGCTTAACAGTGGGAAACCCACATAAAACCTGACAGCAAAGAAAATCCGCACTGGAGCCACCTGCCAAAAGTGACAGCAAGTTCCACTTCGACAGCAACTCAGAGAGAGGTGTGCAGGGATCTCAAAGCTCAATTAAAGCCAGAATTAAAGAATTAAGGCCTCTTGCCCAAGTGCTGTTGGTGCGTAAGTGCTTTCTCTCTCCCAGCTACTTCCCTGCAAAACCCTCTTTGGGCCACATTTGGAAATTATTTAAAAAAGATAAAATATCCCTAATCTGTTACCAATTAGAAGAAACATGTGAATATTATTTTCTAATTTGTGACTCAATCTTAAAAGCAAAGTCGCTGAAATAATTACATCGGCTCCTGAATATTCCTATTGTGCTCCTGAAAAAAAATGAATAGTGGGTATGTCCTCTCCTGCCCGAGGTGCCCCGGGGCCGAATGTATCCATAAGAACCATCAAAGCCCTGAACGTGAACTGAAAAAACTGTGATTTCTGGTCTGTGGCAGCTGCAGCCCAAGGGCTGCCAAACTGATTAGTTCCCTCCTAATGGTCTTTGTGTAACTTGGGTTTGTGGCAAGGAGGTGGGACACAGGGATGAGCCAGGAGGGCACAAGTGGAGCAGCAAACACAGGGTGCTCGGGTGCCCACTCCACGAGTGACCCCTTCCCCGAGCCAGGATTTATGACAGAGACTTCTTTTCAAAAGCCAGACGCGGCGCGACTTGAGTGACTAACTCCTGAAAATTGGTAATTTCCTGGTGGTTAGCAGGGGAAGGTCCACCAATGGGGAAGCAGAGGCTGCTAATAAATTTATAGTGCGTTATATGCCAATTAGACCCCTTCAGCCCTTCAAGAGGCAGCACCACCAATCAGGTTATCATTCCACAAATGTACTCTTTAGGGCTGATCTCATCACAAATCAATCCTGCATTTAAAGTGCAATTTTCATTAGTATTACCTGGGAATGCACTTGTGAAACAATGCAAGCAGGTATTTTCCTTCTCTCCTCTGGGTGCCCTTCCTTGTGCAGAGCTATTTGCTTCTCGTAAGCAGCCACGTCTGAGCCTCCAATGGTAAATAATCATTGTGAATATCACATTAATTCTGCATCCAGCCAGATTTATTACACACGTCATACCTGGGAGTTTCACCGTCACTCACAACCCCTCGGTGAAATTACATCCTTGTACCTGACCACGTACCATGGAAGATCCTGTCAATACCAGGAATCAGAGCAGATCCCCCAGCTTCCCACCCCACCACATCCACAAGTGCTAAGACACCCGATGCTGCTTGTCTGGGCATCCAGAAAAAGGAAAAATGCAGAAATAAACAGTCTGTCTGGGTTTAGCATCTTAAGCATATGTACAGATCTACTTTCAAACCTCTGGCCACAGCTAAAACTGCACCTTGGTGCTCACAGTCTATGCAAGCAATACTGTAGTTTGGATGTTCTTCCTGGCCTTCATTTCTTGCTGAACAAGGCCAGAAACAGCCTTTAGTTTCAGCTTTATAACCTACGGCAGCACAAAGATGCCTCAGTAACACCCGGGAACCCGAGTGACTAGGAATGCATTCTCCTTTCCTTCTCAAGCCAGGTTCAGACCTTGGAGAAGTGCATCCAGAAACCTGTCACAGAATCATGGAATATCCACAGTTGGAAGGGATCCCCAAGGATCACTGAGTCCAACTCCTGGCCTTGCACAGACACCCCAATAATCCCACCAAGTCCTTGAGAGCGTTGTCCAAACGCTCCTTGAGCTCTGGCAGCCTTGGGGCCGTGACCAATGCAACCTGACCCAACCCCAGGTGGCCTCCACATATTTCACTTCGAAATTACTTCGAATTCCTTCTAATTAAGGTCAACACTTCGTGATTTGCTTGTCAGCTGCCACAGCACAAGCACAGGAGAAGACAAACGTCCAATGGCTGAGTTTGTTTTGGCTCAGAGCGCTATGGGATGTGCCTGTGGGGGCTCTGGAATCTTCTGAGCTCGTGCCCCGAAGAACAAACAACTGTAAACTTTCACAGTGCTTTGTTCTCCTGCTCCTGTGCTGGGATGTCCAACAGCATTTGGGATATGGCAGTCCATGCTGGAAGCTCACCTCACTGAGCACAGACATGACACCCACATTACAAGAACTTAAAGAACAGGAACTCTCTTATGTGGGAATTCCCAAAGCAACCTTCACCTCCCTGCTCCCCAGCCAGGTAAGCTCCTCTAAAGTCACAGTAGGACCAAATTTTGCTTCCCAAACTGCCCCTGCCCTCGCTCATTTTAAATTTTGTGGAGGCTCTTCACAAAAAACCCACAACATAGGAAGAGCAGTGCGATGCCTCAAGCCCTGGGCTGTCACCTGCATCTTATTTCTACTTAACCTCTTAAATAACATTGGAATTCACTTTGTCCCCTGATGGGCGCCGTAATGAGAACCACCTGTCAATCACGGCTCCATTAGCCTGGACAGACTTTCACTTCCTGAAACAATTTATTGGATTCCCAGAAGCGAATGGGCCTTCCTCCTTTTGAGCCAGGTTTTTTTGGGGAGCTATTCAGCGGGAGCGGGTCTCCCTTCTGTCCCTGCTGAGCGGGGCATTGTTTCCCCCGTTTGCTCATGAAAACGGTTTCCTGGCTTGACCCACCTCTTCTTGTCCTGGGCAGGCCGAGTGTTTGCCAAAAACTTCTTTGGACTGCTCAGTTCAGCGGCGCAACACAAAACCCACCAGCTGTTTCCAGCCACTGGGGCAGGGGAAGAAGCCAATTGTGCTGTTAACCCCTTCCCAACAAAGCCCCACTGCACACGGAGAGCTGGAGGAGCATGAGCCTGTCACCCCTACGCCAGGGGAGTGGGACTCCAGGGGAGCTCCTTCCTCCTTAGGAAAAAAATATCTGCTCTCATTCGGCGTGAAACCAACCACGATTTTGTTTTCTTCTTGCTTTCTCTTGGTTACACTCAAATTGCAGCTCAAAGAAAAAAATCTGACTAACAGAGGCTAAAAGCACTTCTGTTGAAACATTATCCTGAGCATTTTCATTTCTCCGAATGTGTGCGAGCCCTGACGAGGTTCATTTGCAATGTGCCTATCTGTTTTGATGAGACAATAAAAAGTATTTTATTTAAAAATATCTCCATTCCCCCCCCAAAGGAATTTAAATGGTCAGTTAATCTTTCTGCTTCTGAACAAACTACTGAGTAAACAAGAGAGGGCCTGAGATTATATAAACCAATATTTTTTCCATTCTAACACTGGTCTCGAAGACTAAAATACAGATGTACCTGAGCATTGGCTGTGTGCCTTTTTAGTATAAATCAGTTTAACTTTTAGCCTGGGAAAGGAAAAAAAAATGGAAACAAGATGATAGTTATCTGCAGCCTTCTGTGATTCTTGAGTCAATGGTAAATGGGGGGACTCGTTAGTGCCATAGTGATCCAATCAGGATGAAATTATGCAGTCATGTAAGAAATAATATCTATTAGGCTAATTTAATCAACGAATACTTTACAGATGAATTAGAATGCAGAATCCAATTATTTCAAACATTTGGACTGTCAGCCGCTGTGTTTCTGAAGCGGTGGAAGGGGAGAAAAGGAAGGTTTTAAGGATCCTTCTGAGGCTGGCTGGGCTGTGTTTACAGCAGGAGAGCTTCTAACAGCAGAAAAGCCCACAGCCACAATCAGCACCTTCTGCAGCTCAGAGGGCTCGAATCCAGCCCCTCTCCCTGCTCCTGGGGCACCTTCCTCTGGGCTATTGGTATGGACAGCTTGATCTGCTGTTTGCAGTGGCTGCTAATTACTGTCTCCAGTCTTGGTAATTTCCCCTCGCCAGTCACCCTTTAAAAGGAAGGCTCACACTCTAATTACAATGGGTCTTTTGTTATTTGGCAGGGCAGACGTGCCCCTGGATTGGTGCAGGACACCCCCAACTCCCTTGATCACGGGAGTGTTTGTTCCCTTGAAAACCAGAGGTTGCTTTACGATGCCAAGCAAAGGGAAATGGTGCACAAAGAATTACCACTAGAAGGGGAAATTGGTTTAAAACACAACTTGACTCAAAGAGGAGAGGACAGAACTGGGGGCTGTGAGCACACAAACCACATCTGTGATCCAGAGTGACTCAACATCTACTTTGCTGATGCTTTGTCCAGTCACAACGGGATCAAAATACCTGCCAGAAGAACATAATTCCCCCAGCAAGGAGACTTTTGGATTGGCTCCTTGCTATAGAATAAAGGCACAAGAAATCCCACATCCACTGCCTCTCTGTGGAGGATTTTCTCCCCAGTCCACTGGAACTGGTGTTTCATAAACAGAGCAGCCACCTCTCTGGCTGGGATGTGACTGTGAGAAGTCTCCTCATCACTTTTCGTAGTTTAAGGTGGACTCAGGTTCCCCAGCACTTCTCAGGAACAACAGAATGAGTTGGGTAGGAAGGGGCCTTTAAGATCATCTCATTCCAACCCCCTGCCGTGGGCAGATTCACCTTCCACTAGACCAGGTTGCTCAGGGCCTCGTGAAACATTTCACACACTCATCCACACCACTCAGTCTCACCACACAGGGCCTGCCCACCACATTTACTATCACAGCAGTTAATTCAAAAACTGAAGATGGCAAAGGAGTATGTTTTGCTCAGCTCCATGGCACAAAAATGGCCTTTTCCTGCTCTCTCATCATTAACAGACAAGCTACTCCTGAAAGCTCTTGGCAGCTCGAACAGAGGAAAACAGGGCTACAAGAAAGTGATGGATACTTTAACCACCTTCTGGACTATCTTCCACAAAGAACTTAAATGAAGTTTAAGCTTAAAACTTTCATTTCCTCCTGCTGGCCTAAGCATTTCTTTTGAGTATTTGAGGGATATCCTGAAGAACAAGAAAGGCTGGAGCCTGCTGCACACTGGGGATGCCCCATTGCTCTGTAAGGTCTGTGCCACAATTCCCAGCATACCTGTGATCCAAACATTTGTCTGCCCCGTCATCTGGAGTGGTTAATGGACTCTCTTGCTTATTTAAACGTTTAATGCTCTTCTGATGCCCAAATTATGCCTGTTTCACGTGATGGATTAGCACAGAATACAGCAGTGACAATTTCCTGCAATCTGTGGAATATCAGATTTTGATTACTTCAGGAGGAAAAAGTAAAGTTCTAAGTAAACTGTTTTGATTGATAAGGAGCAGAAGAATAGTTCATGTGGTGGTTCATTGGGAGCCTTGATGAATGCCTGGCAGGACTATCATGAGTCTCCACAGAAGACATGAAATAGCTCTGAGAAGATTTAAGGTATTTATTGCTCAAATAAAACAAAACCAAGTGACACAAGTAGGTGAAGCAGTGCTGGGTGATTGAAATCTGCTGATCAGGACCAAGTGCAATTCCAATTTTTGCAGGGCAAAAACTAATTTTCCAGCTTGCCTATCGAACACTGCTGGCTATTTTAGGAATTTTGGATGCTGCCTTTCTTCAGTGAGGAATGGGGATGGTTCCAGATTCAGGTCTTCATGGCAGATTATCTGCTAGTTAATGCTGGCAGTTGTTCTAGTTTTGGGTGGCAAATTATTTAGAAGTACCTTTTTAAGATTTAAGCTATTTTTTAAATATATGTATATATATATATCTATATATATACACATGTATCTCATAAAGCTAGAATGTATATGTTCCATGTAAGGTTGGACTTGACCTTGGAGGTCTTTCCCAATCTTAATGATTCTATGATTCTCTCTCTCTCTATATAGACTATATATGCTCTTTCTATACATACCCACTCCGTGGGCCCCATTCCCTTCCAGCAGCAGCATTCCCAGCTAAGAGACTTCAAGCTGAGCAGGTTTCCCACAGGAGCAGCCCCAGCACGGGGATGTGGCTGCTGCCTGCTGAAGGCAGCACTGATGTCTAGTACGAGGTCTACCTTTTGCTGCCAGGCAAGGTGCAGAGCTCCTCTGAAGTGACAACCTGTCTTCTTACCAATTACAAATCCCTCTGATTCGGGGCTTTGGCGGCAATAACACGTCAACAATCTCCCTGTGATGGCAGGAGCAGATGTGACCCCTCCACTCTGAAACA